TCGTAATGGAATATTTTTCAGAATGGTAAACCCAAGCCGTCCAGTTCTCCTGCCGACCGAACTCGCGATATCATAGCTGCTCGTGCTGCTCTCGAGTTCCGCGACGGAATGTATGGTTCGTCGCTGTTTCCACGTGTTTTCTTTCTTTGTGCTACCAACATACGATGAAACCCGTCGCTGGGTCACATTAGAATCAGTTTTCCGAAACAGGCTTTCGACAAATGATGTTGGTGGCGGGCGTTATGATCTCCTTAAGTTTCCAAGGTAACGTTCATACTTTGCAACTGAGGAGATTAGGTGATTTGGAAGACTCGGCGATTCGGCGTTTCGCGCCATTGCTCTGAGGGAGTGGATAGGTACCGATCGGCACCGGTCGCTGGCGATTGCGGATATTCGGCGATCTGGCGGTCCTCGCCAGCGTTTGGAAGATTGGCGATCCGACCTCCGCAGTCGCTAGCGACAAGCGCCGATCAATACTCATCCACTCCCTTGGAGCGGAATCGCCCGAGACGCTGAGTCTCCCATATAACCTGATCGCTCAATCTCTCAACACACCGGGTCGCTCACTGATTCTTCCAATTCTCGGTCGATATACACACATACATACATGTACTTTCCTTTTCGCGTGATCGCTTGTTCACCGAATCTCGCAGAGCACTGAACCTCCTCAGTCGCAAAGCTTGTGCGAGGCGTAATTCTTGTGATTTTCAACAACCTCCTGAAACCTTTGCATTATGTCAGAAGGGCAACAACAATTACACAGTTTAATTGTCTCCTGAGGTGCACATCGGAGAGTTCTCAATCTCATTAGCAAAAATTATATTTCAGTTAATCTCGGTATTGGAATTCCAACGCTGGCACCCAGTTATATACCCGATGGTGTACATGTCCACCTTCAGAGTGAAAATGGTGTTATAGGAGTGGTTAGTCATTATTTTTCGCTATTGGGTTGCAAAGAAAGTCCTGCAACACTTCAAACAGTGGTTATCAAAAAAACATAACACCACGTTTTTATGAGAGTCTGCCTCTTGAATCTAAGTACATGTGCGAGTGTTCTTGGTGTTTCGGCGAGTATAAAACGGCTTCGTAAAAGCTTTTAGAGCTTCGTGATTCTGTTGGTGGCACTGAAAAGCGATGCTGCACGGTAGGGTCAACCATAGTCTGCTTCAGCAAACTTCAAAAGATGACCTATATCATGCGCAGCATTCGATCATGCTAACTTAAGTACTGTCGAGTGTTCTTGGTGGTTTCGGCGAGTATAAAACGGCTTCGTAAAAGCTTTTAGAGCTTCGTGATTCTGTTGGTGGCACTGAAAAGCGATGCTGCACGGTAGGGTCAACCATAGTCTGCCTTCGAGCAATTCAAAAGCTATGACCTAATATTCATGCCGCAGCATTCGATCAAGACAATCCTATGTCTTGTTAGGTTGCACGGACAACGGGTTCTTATGACGTGAAGTACACCCTAAATTTATAGTTTTGATCAGGAATGCGAGCGCACCAGGCTACACAGCACTAGTGAGCGAAATTTGTTCAAAATATGATCAAAGTGTCGCACGACTTTTTCCAACCTAATAATTACTGAAAGATGAAGCACCAGCTTTCATTATACGTTTTGTTTTGTTTTTTTTATGAGAACAGCTGTTAACTCCCATCGGCTCCACTGCTTTTGCACCCTAATATTTTAGGGTCCCTATCCTCAGAAAGGTCAAGAGGATCCCGATCTCATCAATGCAGGAAAGGAAACAATTACATTGACCAAAGGTGCCTCTATATTTGGAAGTGAGGAGTCGTTCGCTATGATTCGAGGGTGAGCTTTTGTTAGAGGAATTCAGATAAGCAAATTCTGATCAGTTTTCACCTTCTGTAGATTCACACATGGATATCACGATTCTTGGCGCTCTACAAGTTTCTCAGTTTGGAGATCTCGCGAACTGGATGATACCTGTAAGTTGTGATAGAATTGAGCTATCCCTGAGCCTCATACGTTCTAATGTTTTCTTCAACAATATTCAATGAGTACTCGATATGAAATTTTCATTGGTAAGCTTTCGCTGTGGTAACAGCTTCTTCAGACCTCAAATAAAACAAGCATACATAGTACTTCAATTCCTTACAACAATCAAGCTGATCAAAGTACTAACCAGGCTGGGCTCCCTCTTTCATCAACAAGAAGCCCCTCCCCACCTAAAAGTCACGGTTTTGCACCGCTCGAAGGAAAGCCCATTGGAAAGGAAGTTGCTCGAGGCGATCGCTATCAAGCGGTTATCCCCGAAATAAACAACAGGGACGAGCTGATGGAGGCAATGAGGCTGATTGCATAGCGGTCGCGATAAAGAATTGTCACGCATGTCGCATTCTTAGGGACTTTTAGTTGCATTGGAGGTCGGTCAGGGGTAGGTCGTTAATATATGATGGTTTGTCAACGAATGTAGGCTTTTACTATGTTGTATTACAGACCTTAGCGACTTGTTAAGAGGGAGCCCAGCCTGGTTAGTACTTTGATCAGATTGATTGTTGATTGTTGTAAGGAATTGAAGTACTATGTATGCTTGTTTTATTTGAGGTCTGAAGAAGCTGTTACCACAGCGAAAGCTTACCAATGAAAATTTCATATCGAGTACTCATTGAATATTGTCGAAGAAAACCTGTAAGTTGTTATATAGGGGAGATCGGAGTATCTCTCCACGCAAACCATGTTTCTTATTCTTCTGTACCCACCGGATTTGTTGTAATGGAACAGTTTATTGGTTGGCGGGCCAAACAGATCGCCGTTTTTGATGGTTTCTTACCACGTTCATTACGAATCGAACATCTTTCAAACCGGGTCCGACGCTTTGCGAGCCGAAAAGAAGTCGCATTTTACATAGGGCATTTGATTGACTAAACAGCACCTTGCACTGCCGTGAGCCCCTTCCTAACAATCCCGCCCACTTTTCAGCGCGGTCATGGATTTTTTTCAAAATTCATTTCGTAAGTTCGCTTTTTTTAGTCGTTTTATCAAACAGTTTTCCATTATTGTTTTTTTTTGCTGTCAAATCTCTAGTTTTTATCGACTTCAGGGCAAATTAGTGAAAGGAATGGGTGGAGCCATGGATTTGGTTTCTGCTCCGGGAGCTCGTGTGATTGTCACCATGGAACATTGCTCGAAGAATGGCGAACCCAAAATTCTACCTCATTGTGATTTGCCACTGACTGGAAAGCAGGTGGCATCACGGATTATTACTGACAGGGTGAGTTCAGCACTTATCACACATATCGTGTTTTCAACAAATTGCAGTTTGTAATGACTTCAGGCAGTGTTCGACGTAGACAAGCTGGAAGGATTGACGTTAATTGAAGTCAGGTCCGATTTGAATGTTGACGACATCAAGAAGGCTACAGCTGCACCATTCAAAGTGAGAAAGTTCTGCGTACTGTTCTAAACCAAGTTCATGTAGCATTTGTTCTGTGGAATGTGACAAGACAATCGAGTTCGCCGCACTGGTAGGCGTCGCGTGCGACTTCGCATTCGCGAATGATAATGTTTCTGAGTCGTAGACGGCGACAATAGGCAATTAATAATCGGAAATAGTCATGTCTATGATTTCGAATTCTACGCGAAATTCGATGCTGCAATCTACAACTGAGGCAAACTATGATGTCGTGCTTATCGCCGCGCGCGATGGAGCGGCGAATTACAATTGCCTTTGTCCCCTCCCTCCGTTTTGGATTGCACGTTACACCTTCTTGCAGCAAGAAAGCAATGTCCCCCTCATTTGTTATGCATTCGAAATCCTAATTTCTATTCTAAGTGCAGACTTTCCAGATATCCGAAAACTTGAAGCCGATGGGACAAGCGAAGCTCAATAACTGAATCAGGAGCTACCTCTGGAGGCGTCAGGCTTCCCAGCAGGAGATTGCATATACTTTTCTTCAGTCTAACACCTCTTCATTGCTGTAACCTCTACAACTCATGTGACTTTACTGGTGATATTTGCGATATAATTAGCCTCGGTGTAATCATAGGCTCACCGTTGCTTCACTGTTTTGAAACTGCTTGTAACCACTTCCTTTTTGACGCCTTACTATAAGGTGCCTTCACCTTGATGCTTGTTGTTTTTTCGTTGTCTAGGAGCATCACCAAATTAGATTAGGCAAGTAGTGGTTAGGCAGTGGTAGTAGCGAATAGCACATCTACAGTACACGTGGCTCGATGATCACAGCCGGAACCGCCCAGGGTGCCCCATAATAAGCGCGTGGCGTTCCTGCCAAGGAACCGTTATAGCGCCTAATCAAGGTGCACATGCCGACCCAGACGCCAATTGCAACCGCCTGCCCACAAATGACTGGACAGCGCAACGACGCTGGCTTATCGCTTCATTTATAAAGTACAGTTGGCATGAAGCGTAGTTGTATGGGTATATGAAACACACGTGCAGCCGTGCTGTGCTTCCCTATACTTGTCCAATGCCATGCAAAACAGAGGGTTTTTTTCGCAGGATTTTGGAAGTCTAACTTCGCTTTTCCGCCATTTTCCCCGCTCTATAGCACCCATGCCACTGTTCCAGAGCAAGTACCAAATTATCGTGCCTCACGCCTTTAGGCCTTCGGACCAGATGCCTTGGAATTCCGGATGGAAGTCGAGTCCATGCTGCATCCCAGACAAATTTGACAGATTGCAGATTTCTATTCTGTTCACCTAAAAGATCCTAGATTTAATATGAATAAATAAAGGACGATAGATCCGAATACATTCGTAAAGTGTGTGATATGAACAGAAACCACCTACTTCGATGATAAGATGTTCAATGATGTGTTCATAGAGCAAATGAATCTGTTTGCGGTATAAATTAGGGGATCAGTTTTTTTAGTGGGTAGCTGGACATGTACTTTTCCTCCTTTAGCGCCAAGGCCCCCAGCATCTTTGCTTAACAATGGTCTTAGAGAAGCATGGAATTGACCACGGCAGTCGGCGCTTAGAAAAATACGGCGCAGTTTATCGACGGGGGGGGGCATTTTGCTTTCCATAGATGTGTCGACCCATCTAGGTAGCGTTTTCTTGAGTTGACACGTTTTGGAATGGTGGCTAGACGATCCTGCGCCTGGTTTGATTTCAGGCAGTCGTAGCAATATTTCAGGCGGTCCTCCAGCTTTGCTGTGCTGAGTCTGACACAACAACAAATTTATTGAACAACAAACAACAAAATCAAATGATTCCAATTTTGTTGGCGCAGTCAAGAGCGTCGTAATCCGAAGTAAGACGGATATAAGCCTTCTTCTCCATATGTGGCGTGATGAGCGTATTGATCTATAAAAACGGATAACAAATTGTCAAACAATTCCGCCATGTTGGCAAGAGTCGTGAATGAACCTGAGAACATTTGTGGGGTTGTAACATAGAGCCCTTTCCCTTTTCTCCCCTACCACCTCTTTTTACTTCGACTGGATTCATTTATCAAGCAAGAGTTGTATAAGGGAAACTTCAATCAGCTCTGCGAACTTCAAGGACAATCTGTACACTGATCTCGGTAGAAACTGGTCCTTGAGTGTGTGGTGAAAAGGAGTCCGGCGGCTGCACTAACATGCCTTTTTTCCCGGTCAAAATGCGCGGCAACGAGGCTGAAGGGTAGTAACGCCCGGATGCTGCTTGAATACTCTGCCAGCGCTGCCGCACGGCCAGGCAGGCGCCTAGCAATAGCCAAGCGCACTGCATGTCTGCACCCTTTCACTTCGTTGCGAGATATTTTCAAGACCGCTAGTGCTGCACCTTGGGGATAGCCAAATGGAGTGTGGAATCGGCGCTCGGGTACCAGTACCTTATAACCCTGATGTACTTTTAAGCGAGAATGTAGCACGCTACTGCGAATTCATTCTCCCCTACACGGCTAGGACAAGGATCCACGAAGTTTGTTTCCAAGCTCGAATACTTCAAAAATACGCTGTCGCGGCGGATGTGGTACACTGGCAGGTGACTGGCTACCATGGGCGCGACGAAGGGGTCGAATCTCGAAGCGACTCCCGCCCAGGCCTACCAACTGGCCTTGGCCAGGTGACATTTCAAAGGGTTTACATGAGAAATCTTGTTTCTGCACATCGATTATGGCACAGCCACTCAGCAACAGGGATATATGTATTCCATTTGCGAAATCTCGATTTCAGTCAGCCATTTGCCTGGAACACTGACGCTCAAATTCCTGGTGTTTCACCGAAATCCTTCAAGAATCATTTCCATCACAATTCTTCGCAACGGTTCGTCGTTGTGGTTGCCCCACAGCGGAAAAAAAACCAAACGGCTTCTCAATTTCAATGAATGCCAAAGTAGGGCCGGATCTGGTGAATACCACTTGGTTTGATAGAAGTCGTCCCCATGTACGTTGACAGAAATTTTCAAGACACATCCCTTCTGAGAACCTCAGAACGTCTTCTACGGTGTTTGCCTTATCTCCGCGGAGTACTTTATTTTGGGAGACAACAGGCCAATTTGGTACTCTTATCATTGTTTGCCACACATTTCGATGGAGACAACAATTGGTTTGTTCTTGTTACCAGGTTCGACCAACTACGACCCAGAAAAGAATCAGCTGTCCAATGACGACCGCCTTGATCCTTGCAGCACTCGTATGAGGATGATGGGTAGAAAACAGCAGTTCTGAAGTACTGCACCACGAAAATGAACGAGAAAATACGCCTGTGGTGCACGCAGTGGTATATCAAGAACAGACATCAAACGCTCATTCAAACCTGTTCGAATCCATATTGAGTATTTTGAGTTAGCAAGAATGTTTCGAAAAACAGAACACGCTAGCTTCTTCAGTTTTAGCTCTTACTATTGAACTGGCTCTCGCAGAATCAGTAGAGAGAAGAAGAGTCACCTCTTCTACAATTACATTTTGCGTCAGAGTTTGCGCTCCAGCAGCATCCTAGAGCACCAGCGATACCTGACAACGCTCCCAAAGCTTTGCGAGCGACACGCGCTGCGCAGACGATCCTATAAATTGATGCGACTCCATCATACACCAGAGAGCTCAACATTAGGCTGCGTTCATACTTTGCGGCAGCGTCTACTAGCGTCCCGAGCGTCCGGCAGCATCAGCGACAAGAAAGTATATCGATAGTGTCTCCCAGCGTCCAACAGCGTGCCGGCGTCTCGAGAGCTAGGGAAGTATAGGTATCGATCCAGAGTCCACCAGCGTTAACCAGCGACGGGAGTAGAAAGTGTGGGGGAGTGGGGAGTAGTAGAAAGCTGGATTAGGCGTAGAAAAATTGCGGCGTGTGCATCCACACGGCGCAATTACTAAAGCACAGAAATATGCAATTTAATGTAGGGCTTAGTGTGGTGAACGATGCGGTTGCACACGCCGCAATTTCACGACGCCTAATCCAGCTGTTTGCTAGCTCCCTACTTCCCCATACTCTCTAATTCCGGTCGCTGGCGGATGCTAGATCGATACTACATTTTCCTAATCGCTGACACTGTCGGACGCTCGGAACGCTAAAAGACGCCGGTGAACGCTGCCGCAATATGAATGCAGCCTTACAGCGCTTCACACCTCGCAATTCGGTCACTGTTAGGCACGTGAACCCTTGAGGGAAAGCGGCCCACCATTAGCAGTGGAACGCCCCCGATGGTGGTCGAGCAATCCCAGCGATTGGATTGCTCGCACGAACACAGCATCCAAAATGCGAAGTCTGACGCACTCATGCCTTGGTTTACAACCGTATCTCGCAATATATATTTCTGTAGAAATAAAAAAAGAAGTCCGAAAAAGACGCTCGAAAGAGAATGAAGTGAACAGTGCTCAGCACTACCATTCCTTTCTGAAAACTACTTGCAACTACGAGTAGTTTCTCACCTTTTGCACGTCGATGTTGTAAAGTTTCTTCACCGCATTCCTAATCTGATGTTTGTTTGCTCTCACGTCTACCATAAAAACAAGGGTGTTGTGGTCTTCAATCTTCTTCATCGCCGACTCAGTGGTGAGAGGATGCTTGATGATAGCGAACGTATCCAGTTTGTTCCGAGCTGGCGCAGATTTACGAGGATACCTAATAAAGCGAAGAGAGAAGTTTTGAATCGTGGAAACTGTGCCTATAACCTGGAAAGTTCTTGAGCACACAGAAAGCTTCTTCCCACTTTGCTCTACTAGTCATGCTTTGGGCGATTAGCTGAGGCATCCAGTGCGCTGCAATAGGACGCTTACCTAAGTCCATTCAGTACTGATGAGTACAGCTGTCCAGTACTTTCCGGGCTCTGCTCGACTGTGAGTCGTAAGGCTGTGCTCATACTTTGCGGCAGCCTCCACTAGCGCTTCAAGCTACTGCCAGCGACCATCAGCGTCTCGAGGACTAGGAAAGTATGGTTATGGATATAGCGTCTACCAGCGTCCATCAGCGCCTCGAGGGACTAGGAAAATGTGGATATGGATATAGCGCTACCAGGGAAGTAGGAATGTAGCACTCTAGATTAGGCGTCGTGAAATTGTCCGTACTTACTACACAATACTATACTCCTGGACGTTGGTAGACGTTAGGATCTATACTTCCTAGTCGCTGACGCTGGGGAATGTTCGAAACGTTGACGGTCGCTGGTGGATGCTGCCGCAAAGTATGAACGCAGCTTTACGGCTACTATGACCTGCGATAAAAAGTTCCAATCACAGACGGTTCTACTATTTAGCAAACGACAATGGAGGGATGGAATGACCGACTGGTCTCAGCGAATCTGATTCCGGCTCGCAATACAGAAGTGCACGCCGTGCAGGTTTCTGCTGGGGTTAGCTTTGCGAGCTTCCGCTCTTCGACTGCATGCATACTCTGTGTCAGCGTTCGAGTGTACGGCAGCGTTCTGACCGACTAAGAAAGTATAGATATCGATCTGTTGTTTTGAGCATACGTCAACGTTTTCAGCGACTGCCCGCGAAAAGCTCAAAACTAAACACACGAACGCTCAGAACGCTGGCGTACCTTTAAAGGCAGCGCCCGCGTTCAAATTTAATGAGTATGCGGCTCAGGTAGTAATAGCGAGGTAGCAAGAAGCCTATTAGTGAAGAAAAATCGAAAAGAAAACACGCAAAATGCCCTAGAAGGAGTTTCATACCGAACAACGGTTGTACGTGCTTAAGGCGAAGAGAAGGAGTGATTGCACGAGTTTCCACTTGTTCATATCAGCTGTTTTCCCTTATCACCTCACTCCACGTGGAGAGAAGCAGCAATGGAACAACCGCACCATCAGGCAACCATTAGAAATGAAGTTGGGTGGCGTGGTCGGCAGGTGGGCGGAGCCGTCGGCTCTTTGCGGGCGGACGCCGCTGTTCCGTCGCATTTTTGGGTTGCGAAACATGCACGTCCACCATCCTCATAGGGGGAGCTACTAGGTCCAGAGAGGGCGTGAGAACAACAAATGAACGCGGGCGCTGCCTTTAAAACGCTAGATCGATGCCCGTACTTTCTCAGCCGCTCGAAACGGTGCCGTACGCTATGCCGACGCGAAGTATGAGCGCACTCATCTATCGCTTTTTCGTGTGACAAATCACCATATTAACAATTACTACAGAAACCATTCTTACTTTGGCACACGCGGAGTTTTTAGAGTTTTTGGACGACGAAAATGCACTGATGTGCGAATCTTCTTCTTATGCAAATGCTTCTGTCCTTTGACGACCTTCTTCTTCGCGCCGAGGGCTTTCTTCGTTGCAGGATTTCGGTGCAGATTTTGTTGCAGCCATTATATTACCTAGAATTACCGAAAATTTTTACTATTTACGCAATATGGAAAAGCAGGCGCTAGAAATGATTAGACCGTTCAAAATGCAGTGATAAACAAAGTTTCCGGAAAACTTAGTAATACTGAAACCTTTACAGATTGGGAAAGATAGCTGATTCAACAAATACGAAGACCGGGAAAATAAAAAAGTTGAGCAAGTAAATAAGGAAAGTGAACAAATCGGCAAGTCACATAAGGACCTCAGCCAGGTTCGTGAGCGGCCGTCCCAGCAAAGAAGACCACGCTCATTTCCTGCCCGTCTACACTCTCTCCATTGAGATGGAGTCCGATGAGAGGCTTCATCCAGCACACTGGGCCTCTTCAGGAATTCTTTGAGGAGAAGGTGTAGGATGCGTTCATAGCTTGCGACCATAATGAAATGCAGAAATGCAGAAACGAAGAAATGTGGAATCTGCGGAAATGACGAAAAGCAACCGATACGTATCGATTTTCCGCATTTCGGCATTTCTGCATTTCTTCAGTTTCCACATTTGTGCATTTCTTCACGGTCGCAAGCTACGAACGCGGCCTGAGGGAGGTGTTATATTTATGCCCTAAACACGAAATTACTTCTATTTTACCGAGGGGGGAGCAGATGAGCAATCGCTCGCAGCGAGCCGCGTGGTCCACCCCCCCCCCCCCAAATACGTCAGCACCGAATCATGACACTAAAAAGTTGAGGAATTCTGAAGCGGTTTTAGCAAAATCACGAAAGGAATCTCATGTGTTGATTAACTGAGATTCACCTCTAAGGCCGCATTCATAGCTTGCGATCGTGAAGAAATGCC